TTTTGATTGAGGTTATGATTATGATTATGATAAGATATAGTTTTCAAATTCATTACTTCATTTTCAAAGCTTCAAAATTATTTGGGCCATTAATATTTGAATTATTCAACCTTCCCTCAATATTTTCGTTGATTTTGTCGAAGAATATGTATAATTTATTTAGAGACTACATCTTATATGTTGATTATCACCTTTCAAAGACATGCTGTGTAATTTCACTATCAATATTCTTTTGATATTGGCTTACTTTTTAACTGCCTTCACCTTCCTGCTTAAATTCCTCCGTTATACCTACGCAACAAACATCTAGAAGACAAACATTTGAGAAGTATCTTACTGGGGAGCAGAAGCATCTGGATATACTAACATCAGTGATGGTTTCAGTTCTGTGGATGCTGATGGAGATTTTCGACGATAATCACGCATAAGAGGTTTTATTTTCTAGATATTATTTCACAGATAGATGCTGAACAATCGGATCAAGTTGGCAATTTAATTTTTTTGAACCTGAGTTGGCAATTTAATTTAGAACAATAGGATCACTTTTATATGCTGTATGACAGTATGATTGCATCTTAGGCTTATAAGTTGTGGACATTTTTAAATAGAGTGCAGCAATCAAGTAATAAATGGATCATAGCAATGACGAGCACAAGCCTTCTTCGGTTCCAGGTTCCTCGGAACCAATGCAGTCCAAATGCAAGTACTAATTTTGCACTGATTTGTTGGAAATAGTGTGGGTATAAAGGTGCAGAATTGGACATTCAATTGCCTACTCAAGTTTATAAATTGTATATTTAAACTTAAAATTTGTGCAATTATATTTACTCACTAAATTGTGGACATGAACATAACACTTTCTAAAGAATATAGTTCATTTTGCAAGCATGTCTCCAAATTCAAGCCTGTAAAATAATTTGTTTATATGAATCTTATGGAAAGAATTTATTTGTATAATGATTATATTTAATTAATATTTTCTGTCGTATCAACCTCGAGTCAGGGCGTGACTAACTATCTATCATTATTAATTATTTCTGCTCAACGAATTAATACACTATTAAACAAATGATATAATTACTTCAAGCATCACGTTTGCCTTGCCACTTAATTTTGATCCATACAAGTAGGTATTGTCTTTTAAGATACCATCTGAATGCATAAATGATCATGAATTGATGCAGCGGCACGTGCGCAGTAAGAGTGGTGATCTACCTGAGTGTATACATATCCTTCTGGAGATATTTACAGTTCGATTTCCATTTCAACAAGAACTCAATTTTGATTGCAATTTCGGTTGAACTGAAACTAACTATTGTTTTGCAGAGCCTGGAATGGTTGGTTAAGTATGTATGTTAGCATATCGGGGGAATACTCTCATGTCTTCAGAGTAGAGAAATTAGACACACGTGACAAGTAGTCCAATTTGCTTCATTTCATTTTGTAAAGCCTATATTTGGATAATAGTCAGGTGTATGATTCCATCTTCAATGATGTAGATTCTGAAATTTGGGCAAGCGCATCGGCAGGAGCAGCATCATGTGCGTTGACTGTGGTTTTAAAATCAATACCATATCCATTACCATCCTCCCCAGGGATTCTTAAACTGGGTGTTGCAACACCGGATTGTTCAGAAGTTCTTATTGAATGTTCCGCATGATTCACGTGATCTTCGATTCCTTCATTTTGATCAGAGTGTGATATTGTCTCCTTGCTGTCTTGAAGTTTTAAAGAAACAACTTCTTCAGTTATTTTGCTAGGTGCAGGAGTTTTTTTTATATTAAAATTGATTACAGCATTATGCTGCAAAATCTCTTGACAAGGATATTCAAGGCCTTGAGTCTCACTCGATGCAGTATCTGTGATTAGACTCCTCTCAGGCTGATTCTCTAGGAGAAGCTGAGTGCCCTTCCTATTTTCTTCAAATGTGTAATTGCCATGCAACTGATGTTTGATGTCCATTAGTCTCTAAATTTGCACTAACAGATGATTAAGAATATATACTTTTTGATATATAGAAATGAAAGTTTCTTAATATATTCCATAGACACTTGTATCATATATTCTATGTGAATAATGTATTTAATAAATAATTATAAAATTGTTGAGTGAAAAATTAATTGATCTTCAAATATTTAAACACTTGTAGTTTCTTAATATGCATCACGTGCAAAGCATGTGTGGTATACTAGTTCCTTGAAAAGAATAGAAGAATGGTTTCAAATTTGTTTTTATCTAAAATATCAAACAGTTACAATTAATTAAACGTCTAATTAATTATATTATTCTAATTTATGAAGATCTTTTAACCTCCCGTTGCAAGCAACCAAAAGATACCTAAATATTAGTGCATTTACGATCACACAATTAATTTTTCTCGCTGCACTAGGAAATCAATCCTTCGTAAATAATCACTCTGATTGTCTATACTGTGGAAGTGAACCTAATAAAGAAATTAACCCTTAGAAACTAGATTTCTTTTAGTTATTACTAGCTCCGTTTAAAATATTGGAAAACCAAATACCCGAGGATTGCTTAAGCTAGCCAATACCCGAGGTTTTGGAATTCTTGTTTAGAGATGATTAGTAAAACACGCTTCTACAGGGACTCAAAATATGAGACCATAGAAGGGGACAAGTGATGTGTCCCCCTCTTATTGTATAATGAGCTGCCAGCTCATTATGCAATAGGAGGGGGACACCTTACTTGTCCCCCTTTAGTCCCACATTTTGGATCATTAAAGTATTTTTCTTGCAAAACGAGTACTAAACTTTCATATCAAATATAGAAGCTTTTGCTTAAAAGCATCAACCAATTAGATTCATTAAAGTATATAATAAGACCCAATGATCTCCAATCCGTTAATTATTATAATAATTAAAAACCAATCAGTTTCAACGGATTTTGGGTCAATTTGAGCTGGCCGACATTTTTGAGCGCATTCAGCGCGTCATCCGGTTGAGTTCGCTTTCACGAGGCCGGCGTATAAATAACTTCGGGAAAGTTCGCCGCGGTGTCATCATCTTGTAAATGGAGTGCGCAAATAGTGACAAGCGTCTAATGCACGTATTTAGTCAAGCTCTTAGCCGGATTAGTCTGATCCAAAATAGAGAGCCTAAATTTGAATAAAGAAAATTAAATTTAGATTTGATCCGATTTCATACTTAGATGCATTTCTTCACATGAAATTTAAAAATTAACAGTTTAAGAGTTAGCAAATCATGACAAGGGTCTAGCGCATGAACCTAGTCAAGCTCTTAACTGGATTAGTCAGATCCAGATAAAGAGCCTAAATTTGAATTAAGAAAATTAAGTTTAGAGTTGATTAGTTGGATGCATTTCTTCGCATGAAATTTAAAAAATAACAGTTCAAGCGTGAAGAACTGAGGGGCTGTTTGGATGGCTGAAAAACTCCCGTTTTGACCTCGGGAAGGAGCCAGAACGCTGCCAAAATGGCAGCTTTTTGAGAAAGCTGCCAAAATGAAAACAGCTCTTTTAGAGCTGTTTTGGCCAGAAAGCTGCCATTTTGGCAGCTTTCTGGCCGCTTCCCAAGGCCAAAACGGCCAAACAAACAGCCCCTGAGCACCGTATGTGTTGTATTTTATTGAGAAGTGTGAAAAAGCAAATGCAAGCGAAAAGAAAAAGTCTATGTCAGCACATTAACTTCTTCATAAAAAATACAGGGGTCAATATCAAATTAAAACAGGTGAGCGCTATTAATTAAAAAGTTGTATATGAACTGCATTAATGACCACTAAAAGTATAATATAGTTTTAAACAAATAAACAAAATAATATTGTCATATCTTCCTCACTTTCTATTTTTTTTCATGAAGAACCATTATATTTTAGTTACACGATGCTGCATTGCAAATTCACTAAAAACAAAAAGAAATACTTCCACGCTTCAAATTCACCTTCGATTTGCCAAACACCCTCTTTAAGTACAAACATAGTTTTTTCTTTTTGTTATTAGACGGGTCACATGATAAATGCTTAAAAGAAGAGCACCATAAATATAAGGCTAAATAGCACTTAAATACCTTATAGTTTCACTTCTTTAGAACTTATATATCATCAATTGTATTTCGTAGCATTTTTATACCAAGAGTTAGATCAAAATTAGCATGATAACACACCCTGTTTTGCAAATGTGAAGTTTTCCATTCAAAAGTGCCGATATAACATTCATGTGTTAAATTTAGAGCTTTTTAATCATTAACATTTGCTAAATTACTATTAAACAACAAAAATTCCAATTTAATTGTATCCTAACTATATCTTAAAGATAGAACTCGGAAAGGTTTAGCAATGAATTCAATAAACTTAATAGACAAAAAGTTATAAAAAAATTAGGATATGAATATTATATGAGAACTTTGACCAACAAGGTACACGAACGCCACAAAATACAACCGAGGGTATATAAGTGCTAAGGGAGTGAAACTATAAGGTGTGTAAGTGCTATTTTAGCCTAAACAGGAACGCCTTTACGTAATTTTGAAAAAAGAAATGATAGGGGCGCATCCTTGGGCACACCACCAACCACACTCCCCCTCTATCTACAGTGTAGGGGCCCCACATGTGATTTTTTTTTAAAAATCACATGTGGGGCCCCTACACTGTAGATAGAGGGGGAACCCCTCTTTTGAAAAATCTTAAAAGTGATTACATGTAATTTTGCCTTGTAGCTTCGCTGACGGTCAAACAACAAGCTGTACCGTTGCGGGAAAGCTATGCCTTAACTGGTCCGTGAAGGCAAACTCCAGATTCACACGTGTGATCCTCCAACTGGTCCAAGCTCGCTGTTTGCTGTTTTCACCGCCTGGCGGATAATCCATCACCACGATAATCATGCTCGTCTGTGGGCCCCACCCCAAGCCCCCCCAACGCAACATAATGACCTCGTTCGCGCCTACCGATTCAAATTTCCCGTAACGCCCCTCTGCCCACTCCTCGTCGACCCCCCTCCCTGCCACTGCCCTCTCGTCGACCCCGCGCTCTGCCCTCCTCGTCCCGATCCCTGAACAACAATCAGCAAGAAAACCCTAACCCGAACCCTAATTCAGTCTTCGATTGGTTCGCCCCCCCGAGGATTCGATTGTTTTTTCTAGGGTTAGGGTTCGAGGAGGAAAGAAGATGAGCTTTCAGGATTTGGAATCGGGCCGGCCGCTAACGGGTCGGAGGGATCTGGTCAACGGCCGGTAGGATCCGACCCAGGCGGTGGCAGCCGGATTGTTCCAGATCAACACCGCCGTCGCCACGTTTCAGAGGCTTGTCAACACGCTTGGGACCCCGAAGGACACGCCCACGCTCAGGGAGAAGCTGTGAGCGAGTAGCTTGCTAGATCAGTTTATCCCGCAGTAGCTTGCTAGATCAGTTTATCTCGCAGCAGAATTGATGGCCCTTTTGTGTGCCATGTTCTAACATTGACCATTTCTTGCAGGCACAAGACGAGATTACACATTGGACAGCTAGTGAAAGATACATCGGCAAAGCTTAAACAAGCTAGTGAAAACGATCACCGTGTTGAAGTTAGCGTGAGTCTTTTACAACAAACTTGTATTAGTCATGCATTATCTGCTAATTCACCGACAGTCGGAGTGAGAGATTGTGCCCTGGATTGATTTTATCGGGTTCGAGGATCAGTTTGGGTCTAGGTCGTATATCCGGGTTTTGCTAGACCGCACTTCATACCTTTTTGAGTTTGTTGGTTCTGTTTCTATTAGACACAAACTGTGCTCTTGGTACACCTGGTGTGAAACTTGACTTGGTTTATGGAATATGGATATGCGTAGTATGGAAAGATGTTGGGTTTATTTGTTTGGTTGGATGGCCTGAGAGGCAAACTGTGTGCCGAAATATTTTTTCATGGGCAATGAAGCATATAAGCACGAAACATGACACATAATGACACACAACAGATGCTTAAAGTAGGATACGGGAAGACAAAGCCACATTAAGAATCCCAGTTTGGTTGGTTTGGGAGGCAATACTGTGTGCCCAAATATGTTTCATGGGCTACACAGCATTTTGGCACGAAATATGACACGTAGTGACATATAACAGATCCTTAAAGTAGGATATGAGAAGACAAAGACACATTAAGAGCCCCGGTTTGGCTGGCTTGGGAGGCAAAACCCTGCCAAAATATGTTTCATGGGCTGAGAAGCATATGAACACTATACATGAACACAATGACATACAACAGATCCTTAAAGTAGGATATGAGAATACAAAGACACGTTAAGTATCCCAGTTATGCAGATGTTATAGGAATTATTTAGTGATGCTTTTGATTTGCCTTTATTAACCATTATTTTCTAAAATGGCTTTTTCAGTTGTATCTTGAATGTTATTTTTTGCAGCTGTAGCCTTCATTATCATGTTTCATGAGATGCTTTTTTCCTAGATGAGCCCTAAGAAGAAACCAATTTATTGAATTTGGATTGCTGTCCAACCCTGGATAACAAGGAAGTGAATACTATGAATAAATGGCCGAATTTGTAGCTTTACACAGTATAGTGATATTGGATGTATATCTCCTAAGAATTTAAAGCGTTTTAGATTTAAAGATTGATTTTGTCATCTGTGGCACATGCAATTTATCTTTCCTTTTGATTTATTATAACCTTGTGCTCATCAGGCAGTTGGGAAATTTCATATATTGATAACTTATGATTTCTTGAGTATGAAATTGATAACTTATGATTTCTAGCGTAAATTGATGGGATGCTTGCAACTTCTTTCATACGTCCATCTGTGGACTATGGTCGACTCTTGTGCCTTCTAAATTTGAGTTGATGTACTAGCGAAATAGTTTTTTTTTTTCCAACTGTGTAAACAGAATGATGTTTCTTAGCTTGCTCCTCGGATTTTGATTGTAGGCAAGCAAAAAGATTGCAGATGCAAAACTTGCCAAAGATTTTGAAGCGGTTTTGAAAGAATTCCAGAAAGCACAACGGCTTGCCGCCGAAAGGGAATCAGCATATGCCCCATTTGTTCCCCAAGCAACTGTCCCTTCAAGGTAGGTATATGCAGAAAGTTTTGATGCTGGTAATATTAAACATGAGCTTTTTTGAATCCTACATTTATTGGTTTCATTTTTCTTTATATCAATAATGCACGTGTAAAATGCTTGAACTGGTAAGTCACTTGAGTTTACTTGTAGAAGTATGTGTGAGAATAAGTATGTACAATGTAGTCAATAGCAATCACTTGGGTTGGTTGGTCTGTTGTGAAAGAAAATTGATGTAATAAGAGAGTTAGATACTTCTTATGTTGAAAGACCCAAAGTCCAGAGTTTTTCTGGATTGCCTGATGATTGATATGTCATAGTACTTTAACCGGATAGCTTATTTTCCATCGGGTTTCTCCCAAGTGAAATCCAATGAAATTTTATCCCAACCATTAAAAAACAAGGCAGCGTACTTCATACGAAAAAGAAAATTTTTTAACGATTGTGACCTGGAGCTCTTTAAGGTAGTTCTAGACTTTTGTTATCAAATGTTATTTAAATTTGCTAGTAATCCTAAATGCAAATGTTTATGATGAAATATTGGCACCCGATGACTTTAACTAGATAGCTTTATTGTTTATAACCGAGACACTGCACTGATTTTATTTGTGTCTTTCAAGAATGACAGGTATGCAATCCTGAAACCACACTTACAAGAAATAAATCAAACTTTTGAGCTGTGCTATAGGCTATTGGTCATGTAACCTTTTGTTTCTCAGGGAACTAAGTTTCCTCTTCATGTTATTCTCAGGAGTGCACCCTCTAGGAGGGTCCCCCATCCAGCATCATCAATATATAATGGATGATACCATCAATCATTTTGATAATAGTTTTTTATGCTACCATAATTGCAAAAATCGAAGGATCTCTTTAAATCATCATGTATTGGATACTCTATTGATGACCAGACAACAATTGCCATGCATTCAGCCTGAAAACCTAGTTTTGCAATGTATCCAAGAGGAAAAAAACATGGCATCCAAATATGGCTCCTAGTTTTGCTGCATGTTTGCATGTGCACTATTTAACCTCGCAATGCTGTGACCTAACTTTGTAGCTTTATAATTGTTCTGCAGCTATGGTACTAGTGAGGTTGATGCCAGTAATGATAAAGCACAAGAACAGCGAGCAATGCTCGTGGAATCTAGAAGGTAGAATATTCCTCAGTTCCATTATCTAATGCATGTTAGATTTATCACTAGTCATTATGTTCTAGCCTTACTGCTACACATCCTGCTTGAAGTTGATACTATTTTCCTTAAAATTTTGATAGGGTTTTGTTCTTTCTATTTATTCTTTGAATTTAGCCAAATATTGGGAAAAGAAAAAAACTTTTTGCGAATGGCGATCTTATGAACTTATGCCACTTGGTCGCTATATGCCTTTAGTTAGAGAGAGGTTCTGCAATGATTTCTATAAACAACTTCTCATTTTCCTGCTAAAGATCCTTTCAGAGAGAAGAGAGAAGTGAAGAGTGCAGTTGGCTTTGAAAGGTTGTTTTTCCTTTTTTTTTTTTTTGTTTTGGGGGGGGGGGGGGGGNGCGTGTGTTTAGGCAATTAGCTTGGATTTACAGCCTGAAAATCGACTGCTAGAAAGATTGCTGTCCAATATTGAAAAATGAGTTATAAACGATTGTATTCTTTGACAAAATGTGTTAAAACAAAAAATATTTTCTCCTGGCAACTCGTTGCGTGTATATCTGTTTCCTATGGATTTGCCTTCCTGATCTAACATTGGCCTTCAGGATTTATTTTATATTTCCCTATGGACTGTGTATGACAACGTGCACTTGCTCGTCCAGAATGGTTTTCATCCAATTATTTAATTTCCCCCACATTAATTCCAGGCAAGAAGTACTACTATTAGATAATGAGATCGTTTTCAATGAGGCCATCATTGAGGAAAGAGAACAGGGAATACAGGAGATTCAGAATCAGATTGGTGAGGTGCATGAAATGTTTAAGGATCTTGCCGTGCTGGTCCATGATCAAGGGGCTGTGATAGGTGCGTAAATTTAACTTTATAGTAGAATTGCGTTCTATGTTGTCTACTGAGCCTCACTTTTGTACGCATAGATGATATCGACTCCAACATTGAGAACTCCCTTGCCGCCACTCAACAAGCGAAAACTCAACTTGTAAAGGCAGCCAAAACGCAGAAGTCGAATTCATCTCTGGTACGCTTGGTTTAATTAGAATATTTCCTCGTGGACACTGGTTTTCCTTGTGCATCCTTTTCCTTACAAACTGTTACCGGATTGTTTTCACAGACATGCTTGCTCCTAGTGATATTTGGTGTCATCCTACTTATCGTTATCATAGTGCTTGCTGCCTGAGTGTCGACGATGAAGCCTGTTTCATTTCTGCAGCGCTCTGGTTGTTTTTCTCCTTTATTCTTGTGCCCAGATCCCGGACCTTGTTAAATAGTATTTATCCTTATATATATATATATTACCTATTATAGTCGTGTCTCGTCTGTAATATTTTGCTTTCGTCGCTTTGTTTTCTGGTTACCTTGTTCCCCAGTGCCTGAGGCTTTTGCTTGTGAAAGTGAACCGACTGAACTGACAGCAGACCGTGTACTGTAATGATTGTTTATTGTGCAAAATAAACCCTTGAGATTCTTTGATTGCATAGATTCTTCCAAGTGGTTGAAATCATTGATATAGTATAACCGAGTCCAAGTAGTTGATATGCGAAGAAAGACGCTCAAATCTGGTTTTACTGAAAAGGGGAATATTTTTTTCCTTCTCCCCAGTACTTTCTTCGCATGTCAACTTTACTCGGTTGATAGTAGGCGTTGGTCAACGGCAGGGTCATGGGAGAACTAAAATTGATTATGCAAGAGAGCACATTAACGGAACCGAGTGGTCACTGTAAAACGTTTATGAGAATAATAATCATTATACGATAACTTAATCACGGTTGGGCTGTGTTTTCATGAGTGTCAAAAGAACAAAAATCACCAGACTGTATTATGTGTTATTCTGTTAGCTATAATTTGGAAATTCATGTCCGAAAGCTACCCTTTCACATTTCTATGCGAAAACGAGGGAGCGTGCTATTTTCTTGAGTCTTATTGTCTATATCAATGATAATGAGGGAGCATGCTATTTTCTCGAGTGTTATTGCCTGTATCAATTCTAATGGATCAGATCACACTCGCTAGTTGTTTTTTATTATAATAGTTTTCAAGTTTACTAGTATTTTTCCAAGACCAAAACTAGTATTTTTCCAAGACCAAAAATGGTCTTTTTAAGTCGAGAACAATAACCTCATGTGACATAATTTTATCCCTTGAAAATGATACGGACGGTATAGATTGAGAGAGCGTCCAATCGCGGACTTAACTTTAATTGGAAGACATCCAGATCCGAGTAGTAGGCTTCTCAGCTCAGCCACAAATTAAATTTGTAACATCAAAATTCAAGGCATTAGTCCCCCGCTTGGACTTTGGGATCCTCACCAAAGCAAAGATTAGAGCGGGGTGCGGCGTGGTGGGCGCCACTGGCCACTCCTCTCCCCGCCAACTGCGACGACGCGAACAAGAACCCGTAGAGAGAGAAAACATAGAGTTTGAGAGAGAGAGATGTTGAACTAATCAGTGTTTAGCAACCTAAACAACCTAAGAGCCATAGTGTGATATTCTAGGTGGAAGATAATCCTAAGAGTCAAAGTATAATAAGTGGGGTGGTATTCTAAGAGATGACTCTTTGTATTCTATGAAAGTAAATGTGTAGAGTATGAAGGGTCATGTATAAGTCTATATAAACCCATGAGTGGGAGAATTTGAATATGAATAAAAAAAGCACCAAATTCTCTATCTTCTTCTACATCTCTCTCTCTCTCTCTCTCTCTCTCTCTCTCTCTCCCTCTCTCTCTAATTCTCTATCATACTAGCCTTAGCCAAAGTTTTCTTCACTACTCAATTCAAAATTACAACATGGTATCAGAGCTTCTTTACGACAACTGAGTGTAAAGAAACCCTACCTCTACAAAAACACCAACACCCACTACCAAAACTCTTCCAAATAGCCTCCTCAAAATGACCGATACAACAGTCAATTCTCCAACTTCATCTCGGGTTCAAGTGGCTGACCCAATAGTCATTGAGTCTGACCCAAAACCCACCTCCGGCGAGATACGAACACTGATCTTCTTCGGGGAGAACTACGACTTTTGGCGGATCAAGATGAGGACGATATTCAGAGCGCATGACCTTTGGAAGCTGGTGAAGAAAGGTTTCGAGGTGCCAGAAGACGAAGACTCTCTCACCCCGGCAGAGCAGAAGACATTAAAGCTTAACTACATGAGGGATGCCAAAGCCCTTGGGTTGATCCAAAATGCCGTCTCCGACTCCATCTTCCCCAGGATCTCCAACGAGGAGACAACAAAGGCGGCGTGGGACATCCTCCAAGAGGAGTACCGTGGAAGTGAAAAGGTACGGACGGTTAAACTTCAAACTATTAAAAAAGAGTTTGAGCAAATCTCTATGAGAGTAGAAGAAAGACTCGATGGTTTTCTTACTAGATTCACCAATGTTATAAATCAATTAAAAACATATGGTGAAGATGTAACAAATCAAAGCAATTAAAAACATATGGTGAAGATGTAACAAATCAAAGAGTAGTTCAAAAAATTCTTATTTCTCTCTCTAGTAGATATGACCCCATTGTAAGTGTGATAGAAGAAACAAAAGATATGGAAAAGCTTTCATACAAGAGGCAATCGCATCCATCAAGATGTTTGACCAAAAGCTTGAGAAGAGGAATGGAGCTTCTACCATGGAGAGAGCCTTCCAAAGCTTCAACATGAGCTCAAATCAACAACAGAGCCAGAAGCAAAAGAAGAAGAAGAAAGGAGGCAAGCCCAATTTTGCTCCAAAGCCTCAACAACAACAACAAAGTGGCAACCCCAACAAGGTAGCAAATCCACATGTAGAACTTGCGGCAAGTCTCGTCAAGGGAAGTGCTGATTCGAGGGGAAGCCCTAGTGCACCAACTACTCCAGATTTGGGCATACCAAAGAGCAGTGCAGGACTCAAGGAAATCAAAACCAAAACTGCCGGCAAGTCTTTGCAAACCAAGAAGAGGACGACGAAGGTAATATTTTCTTTGCTTGTCATGGAGGAAAAGATAGTGATGGTAGTCTGTGGTATATTGACAGTGGCTGTAGTAACCACATGAGCGCGAACAGGTCACTGTTGATAGACTTAGACACATCCTATCTTGGTAGTGTTAAGATGGGAAATGGGAATATTGTAAAATCTGAAGGAAAGGGTATCTTGGCTGTAAATACAAAGAAAGGAAAAAAAGATACATCAAGGATGTAATGCTTGTACCGGGTCTAGAGAAAAAACTGTTAAGTATAGGTCAAATGCTCCTTAACGGTTATTTTCTAGTTTTTGATGATCAAACAGTGAAGATCTATGATGATAGGAGTTTTAACAGCTTGGTGACCAAAGTCAAGATGCAACCCAACAGAAGTTTTCCTCTCTCACTGTACTACTTGAACACTTAAGCTCTAAAGGTCGAAGAGGTGAACTCCTCCTGGCTATGGCACAAGAGACTCGGGCATCTCAACTTCCAAAGCCTCAAGACTCTTCAAAGCAGAGAAATGGTGTATGGCCTCCCAACCATTGAAGGAGTTGAAGGTGTCTGCTCCAGTTGCATGAAAGACAAACAGCACCGAGGCGAGTTCCCAAAAGAAGGAGCATGAAGGGCAACGAAGCCTTTGGAGTTGATCCATACGGACCTATGTGGTCTAATGAAGACAGAGTCCTTGGTCGACAACAAATATTTTATCTCTTTTATTGATGACTTTAGCAGGATGGCCTGGGTCTACTTTTTAAGGCTCAAATCAGAAGCTTTCACCATCTTCCAAAAGTACAAAGCAATGGTGGATAGACAAACAGACTTGGAGATCAAGAAGATCCGAAATGATCGGGGTGGAGAGTACACTTCAACAGAGTTCGAGGACTACTGCAACAACCTTGGCATCGAGAAGCAAACCACATGTTCATACACTCCTCAACAGAACGGAGTGGCAGAAAGGAAGAACCGGACTATCGTGGAGATGGCCAAGAGTCTCCTACATGAGAAGAACCTTCCCTACAAGTTCTGGGGAGAAGCAGTCAACACCGCAGTGTACCTTCTCAACTGGTGTCCAACAAGAGCATTGAAGGACAAAACACCCTTCGAAGCATTCTCAAGTAGAAAACCTTCCTTAAACCACCTTAAGATTTTCGGTTATGTTTGTTTTGCTCACATCCCAGGCCAATTGAGATCCAAACTAGAGGAGAACACAAGAAGGTGTATCTTTATGGGATACGCAAGCCATACGAAGGGCTACAAGCTCTTCAACATGAAGACTCAAAAGATCGTCATCTCACGGGATGTGGTCTTTGACGAATCAACCAAGTGGAAGGAGGAGCAAGTGCCCACAAACTTCATCTACCTAGATTTAGAGAGCAGCCAAGATCCAGATTCAGAGCCAGAAGTGCAAACTCTACAAAACGGTTTGAGTTCAACAAGCTCCGACTCAACCACACCAAGATCAAGTGCTAGTTCCTCAAGCACACCATCCAACTCTAGTCCCAGTTCTTCTTCCTCCTCAGATAAAACTCCATTAAGATACAGAAATCTTAATGAGATTTATGCTTTATGTAATTTTTGCATATTAGAGTCTGAGTCATTTGAAGAAGCCGTCAAAGAGAAAGATTAGAAGAAAGTTATGCAGGAGGAGATCTCCATGATAGAGAAAAATGGCACCTGGTAGAGAAACCTACAGCCAAGCCAATCATCGGCGTCAAGTGAGTCTATAAGACTAAGCTGAACCTTGACGGGTCCAGCAACAAGAAGAAGGCACGGCTTGTGGCGAAAGGCTATTCGCAGAAGCCCGGAGTGGACTTTAATGAAACCTTTGCCCTTGTCTCCAGACTAGAGACAATTCGTCTCTTGATTGCTCTAGCTGCTGACAAAGGGTGGAAGGTATTCCAGTTCGATGTGAAGTCGACATTCCTTAATGAGGTGCTACAAGAAGAAGTCTACATCCATCAACCGTAACGGTTCGAAGTTGCAAGAGCCGAGGATAAAGTCGACAAGCTCCACAAGACGCTCTACGGTCTCAAGCAAGTACCAAGGGCGTGGTATGAAGAGGTCAACTCCTACTTCACCCAACCCAACTTCAAAAGGAGCCTTAGTGAAGCCACACTTTACATTCGAAGAGATGAGATAGATATTCTCATTGTAGCTGTATATGTAGACGATATTATCTATACATGCAACAGTGAGAAGCTTATGCATGAGTTCAAGAAAGACATGATGGAGGTGTACGAGATGACAGATTTAGGCCACCTTCACCACTTTCTTGGCATGAGGATCCAGCAGGACGGAGATGACATCATCATTCATCAGTAGGCCTATGCATAGTCAATCTTGAAGAAGTTCGGCATGGCAGACTGCAAGCCCGTCTCTACCCCACTGGTGGTCAGTGATAAACTCAAAAGGAAGATGGTACCGAAGAAGACCTCAACCTCTACAGAAGTATCATCGGGAGTCTCCTCTACCTCTCTAATACTCGACCTGACCTCATGTTTGCCTCAAGTCTCTTAAGCAGGTTCATACATTGTGCAATAAGAGTGCACATGGGAGCTGCCAAACGGGTCCTTAGGTACATCCAAGGCATCCAGAATTTTGGGATCCATTTGGAGAAGAACTCCTCAGCAAAGCTATTCGGATTCTGCGATAGTGACTGGGGAGGTGATGAAGATGACATGAAGAGTACCTCTGGATACTGCTTCACACTCGAATCGGGTGTGTTCTCCTGGGAGTCGATGAAGCAGGAGTCCGTGACACTATCAACTGCAGAAGCCGAGTACGTGGCGGCTTCTCAAGCAGCATCACAAATCAAGTGGTTGACGGATGTGCTTGAAGACATTGGTAAAAAACAACTGCAACCTACTCCTCTCCTCTGCGACAACAAGTCAGCGATCGCAATAGCAAAGAACCCGTCTTCCACCAAAGGACGAGACATATCAAGAGAAAACTACTTCATCAGGGACGCGATCGTGGACAAGGAGATGGAGGACTTCTACTACAAAACTGAAGATCAAGCTGCAGACATTCTCTCCAAAGCTTTGCCGAAGGATCGCTTCTGCACACTTCGAGAACTAATGACTGTTAAACCTGCTAACCCCTGAGGAAGATTGTTAAACTAATCAGTCTTTAGCAACCTAAACAACCCAAGAGCCATAGTGTGATATCCTAGGTGGAAGGGAATCCTAAGAGTCAAAGTATAATAAGTGGGGTGATATTCTAAGAGCTCTTTGTATTCTATGAAAGTAAATGTGTAGAGTATGAAAGATCATGTATAAGTCTATATAAACTCATGAGTGGGAGAATTTGAATATGAATAAATAAAAAAAATTTCTCTATCTTCTTCTACATTTTTCTCTTTAATTTTCTATCGTACTAGCTTAAACCAAAGTTTTCTTCACTAATCAGTTCAAAATTACAACAAGAGAGAGAGAGAGGGGGAGGATCTTTTATCTGCTCCTTCAACCTCTTCTCGATACTTATCCCCTTTAAGTGGGCATCTTTATCGGCCCCTGGGCATCTCGGCGGCAAGGCCAATCAGCGCACCAATCAGCCCCGCGCCGCCTCAGCCCCGCCCCAGCAGCCCACGCGAAGGCTGGCATTCGGCTACGATCTATTGTTTGACCACCCAGAGCTCAATATCTCTCCCTCTAGGGTTTACAGTTTTTATAAGAACAATTTTTCAAAACGGACTGAAATTTTTTTTTTTTTTTCAAAACCGACTGTTTTTTTTTTATTTATCAAAATCGACCCGGTTTTGTGATTAGGCTGCTAATCACTATCCTAAATAGTCGGGGTTGGCAACCCCGACTATTTAGGAGGGTGTTAAACCCTAATTAAAGGGTGATTAGCAGGTTAATCACTATCCTAAATAGTCGGGGTTGTCAACCCCGACTATTTAGGATAGTGATTAGCCTGCTAATCACAAAACCGGATCGATTTTGATAAATAAAAAAAAAACAGTCGGTTTTGAAAAAAAAAAAAAAAATTCAGTCGGTTTTGAAAAATTGTTCGTTTTTATAATGATGAATCTGAGCTGGCTTGGGATCCCCATGGACTTGATCTCGTCTGTAACGTAGCCGTTTCACTTCGGTGAGCCTCTCCCTCCCTCTCTCTCTCTCTCTCTCATAATTGGATTCTAGGGTTTGAACTCTTTTTCTACTAATTTGGTTGATTTGTTGTGATCACGCAGTTAAAGATGGGATTTTTACCTTGGAGCATGAGCTCGAGCTAGTTATGGCATCTATGGACCTGATCGCGAAGCCGTTCACGTTGATGAGCCTTGCTGTCCTGGCCGGCGTTAGGAGTGTGAGCCTCGTGACGGCCACGTGGCGGAATTTCGTGAGGGGTATTGTTGATTTCCATGTGGGGCTGTGCTGGAGGGGTTTGGTTTGGATCGGGGTGTTTGTTTCGCTGCCTGTGAAGATCGTGACTGCTCTGCATAGGGAGAGGACGGTGCGGTTTCGTGTCCCTTGCCTCCGTATTGAAATTTAGATATAAGTCTCTATCGAATTTCATTTTTCGGCAATTGTTTGCGTGAATGGGGGCATAAACAAGAATTACTCTTTCAGTAGTCCTGTACCAATAATTTTTTTAGAAAATCGAGTGTGACGGGGCGCTATGAGGCATAGTATAGAAATTAGGACAAATTTAATCTAGCATTGAGCTCGTTGACATGTATATAGGAATAAACTGATCAACACAGGGTGCGACAGGCGCTAGGGGGCAAGCATGGAGCTAGTAGTGCCTACCCATCTGTGTATTTAATATGATAGTAACCTAACATTAAAGGTCTGCACTTGTATTGTGTGTTCTACGCCACAGAATTCTCCTTTTTATTTGATTGTTTTTTGCCTAAGTTTTTTATTTGTGTCTTTCCTTTTAATTAAGAGGTGTATATTTGTGTGAGAACTGGGGAACTTAATATTGGACATTTGAAGACAATGTCGCATGGGTGAGCATTTTGTTTTAGGTTAAATCAATAGTGTATCGTCATTCATTTTTTAAAAATATTTTATCTGCTGTTTACCTATGCTATACATAAAGCTTTACCGCTTCTATAACTTCTGTTCTGGGCAAGAGCACATTTAGTATTTGGGATGAGTGTTAAGACCATCACCTTACCGGTTGTGACTTTTAGCTACCGGACGACTAGCTGTGTCTGACCATATCTCGAAGAGCACTCCCGCGACCAGTAGCATGAGCTTGCGGACGTAAATTCACAGTGGAACCCAAATTTGAAAATGCTAGATTAGTATGTTATATCTGTTTGCAATAGAATCCACCACCTTAGCAGTTGCCACTTTCTCGTATCTTTTCTGGCCTTCTCTATACTTTTGGTTATTACGTGCATTTTTTATGGCAGGGTGCATCATTTTTCTTCTCATTGTGGTGATAGTTGTGATTTGAGTAGGGAGGGTGCAAAAATAAGAAAACGAAAGAAAGGGAGGGAAGAAATAGGGGGGAAAAAATCTGTTGCCTATAGTAAGAAAATCCAGCTCTTTGCATCGCCCTCTGCTACTATGCCACTCTATCTAGTACCTACGGATTCTTGGTCTCATCAAAGGCCTCTTATCTAATATTTTGAGAAGAAGCAAGGCAACCTTATGGTAAAATAGGTTTTATCTAACCTAGGTCGTTTGGTCAAATCTAATTCAATCTGAATATATATGACTGTCAAGAGTATTGATTTAGTTTCCATCAAACTCAATAATGAAGTCAAATCTTTGTACAATAAAAAATTAAAACTATACTTAAAATTCATTAACAGAAGGGTTGGAATTTTCTCATGGTTTCCTCAAGCTGTATTTCATGAAACCAAAATCTGTAGTGTAACTTTAGAAAATTACTTTTACAACCCCTTTACAAAGTCGATCTCATACTTTATTTGATCATCTTCACAAAATTAGTATTTCACATGTGGCTTTTGCTTGTTTTTAAGTATCGTCTTGCATACCTAACCCTGGAAAGTTATTATACGTAATATATTGTTTTTTTATAAATCAATAGTGTATCGTCATTCATTTTTTTAAAACATTTCATCTGCTGTTTACCTATGCTATACATAAAGCTTTACCGTTTCTATAACTTCCGTTCTGGGCAAGAGCACATTTAGTATTTGGGATGAGCATAAGAGCATCACCTTACCAGTGGTGACTTTTAGCTACCGGATGACTAGCTGTGTCTGACCATATCTCGAAGAGCACTCCCGCGACCAGTAGCATGAGCTTGCAGACGTAAATTCACAGTGGAACCCAAATTTGAAAATGCTAGATTAGTATGTTATATCTGTTTGCAATAGAATCCACTACCTTAACAGTTTCCACTTTCTCATATCTTTTCTGGCCTTCTCTATACTTTTGGTTGTTACGTGCATTTTTTATGGCAGGGTGCATCCTTTTTCTTCTCATTGTGGTGATGGTTGTGATTTGGGTAGGGAGGGTGCAAAATTAAGAAAAGAAAGAAAGGGAGGGAAGAAATAGGGGTGTTGCCTATATACTAAGAAAATCCACCTCTTTGCATTGCCCTCTGCTACTATGCCACTCTGTCTAGTACCTACTGATTCTTGGTCTCATCAAAGGCCTCTTATCTAATATTTTGAGAAGATGCAAGACAACCATATGGTAATTATCTAATATTTTGAGAAGATGCAAGACAACCATATGGTAAAATAGGTTTTATGTAACCTAGGTCGTTGGGTCAAATCTAATTCAATCTGCATATATATGACTGTCAAGAGAGTGTTGATTTAGTTTCCGTCAGACTCAATAATGAAGTCTAATCTTTGTACAATAAAAACTTAAAAATATACTTAAAATTCATTAACAGAAGGGTTGGAATTTTCTCATGGTTTCCTCAAGCTGTATTTCATGAAACCAAAATCTGTAGTGTAACTTTAGAAGATTACTTTTACAACCCCTTTACAAAGTCAATTTCTTACTTTATTTGATCATCTTCACAAAATTAGTATTTCACATGTGGCTTTTGCTTGTTTTTAAGTATCGTCTTGCATACCTAACCCTGGAAAGTTATTATACGTAATATATTGCTTTGCTTTGCCAGTGTTTTTATTAACATATAGATGGTTTAGTAAGCTTAATCCTCTATTATGATTGATATCATAGTCATATGATGATATTATCTCTGTTCTAGAGTCCCACTCCCTCTCTGCACCTACCAGGTATGTGATTAAGAGCTCAGGGGCGTGTGTGGGGGTACTGAAAGTAAGAATAGGAGGAAAATGAATGCATATATGTGCACTAAAGTAAGAATAGGAGGAAAATGAATGCATATATGTGCACTACTTTTGGCATTTTGTTTATGAATGTGTTCAATTTCCTCCAGGAGGAAAATGAATGCATATATGTGCACTACTTTTGGCATTTTGTTTATGAATGTGTTCAATTTCCTCCAATATCTCATCTTCAATTAATTGTTCCCTTTCTCTTCGTTTTCCGCTAGGTGATGATTTTTATTTCTTGTGTACTTCAGTATGGTAATAATCATTTATTCTGTCAAAGTTGTTTATAGGCGAAAATGATTTGATGAAAATTTTACTTATATCTAACAATACAATCTGTGGATTTCTTGGGCTGTGTATTGAAGAAAATAGAAGACAAACCATATAAGCTAGATACTATATAGACAAGAATACTAAAAATCCTAAGTCATAAAATCAATAAAAGCTAAATAGGTAAGTTTGTAGACACCACAGACATGCTAGGGAACTAGGTGGGGGCAAATCTCCTCATAATAGGATATCTTACATGCACTTGACAGACCTTCTAAGCTAAATAGGTAAGTTTGTAGACACCACACACTTGAGTTTCAACGTAACCTTTACTGCTTATCTGTGAGTGGTTCCATGGGATAGCTTAAAGCCTCTACTAAATAAGTAATTTCCTAGAGACCATTGACTTCAGTTCAGAAAATGCTTGGAAGCTGACTGTTCATGCGTTGTCTTTAGAACAATTTAATGAGTATAGGAGTCATGAAGTGAAAATTTCAGCTGTAGGCTGAACAACCTGGCTCTTTTAACTTGATTGCACCAATCAATCTTTAACAGTTTGACCTTGTCTTTGTTCTATGTTTAGCCGCAGTGTATCTTCTATAAAGAGCAGTCTACCTATTGATGTCACAGGCACCCTGCATTCCAAGGCACTGTGGCTTGCCAGACACCTGGAGTGTTTGCTATTATTGATAGTAGTGGCTCTCTGGTTATTCTTATTACAAGAAGTTTTTTCTTTTTCAAAGGCACCTGAAAATGTTATTTTCTATGTTCTTTCAGTGCCCATAGACATTCACAGCACAAATATTTTCATGAGAGCATGGAAACAAAATAGGTGTGGTTATTTATCTGTTCGCTGTTGGTCGTTAATTTTGTTTGGAAACAGTTATATGTGGAATATCAAATTATCAGTAGTTGTATAACTGGCAGTATTGTTAATTAGGACATCATAGGTTCTATCATCCGTTGGCATGCAATAGGGCATTGTCATCTCATTAGTCACCCATCTTTACATAATACGATTTTTAAACATTAAACATGCAAGTAAACCATCTCCTTATTATGACAGCTGCAAGACGTTAAAGAAGAAAATTCGCGGTTGAATGGAATCCATGGAAAGTCCCCATGGGATTATAAATCCCGCGACGAGAAGAT